TTCTCTGGCTTCCTTCAAGACTTGGCTCCAAACCTATCATCTTCATGAGGCCTTTTTAGGTCCTCTTCTTCACTGCCCCGCCCCCAGCCCCGCCGCTGCTAGTGCCTTTCCTCTGAGATGACTTTCCATTGACTCTGCCTATATCTTGTATGCACACAGTTGTTTGCATGTCATCTCTCCCATTAGACTGGGAGCTCCTTGAGGGTTGGGATTAGCATTTAGCACAGTGTGTGGCACATTGTAAGCTCTTAAGACATTTTTACTGACTGACTGAGGACTCGTTTTTGCCTTTTCGTGTGTTCCTCGTGCTTAGCACTGTTCCTGGCATATAATTAGGGTTCAACAAATGCTTGTTAACTGCTAATCACTAACTGGCTCTGTCAATTTGAGCAGGTCACTTCACATTTCTTGATCCATTTTTTATCTATGAAATGAGCAAGATGGACTACATGAACTCCAAAGGGCCCTTCCAGCTCCAAAATTATTTGATTCTACAACAGCTGCGGGGCCTTGGACATGGAGTGGGCTGATTAGTTCAGATAGTACATTGTCAATGAGTTCAATGTAGTAGTTTCAATCCCAGTAGAGGTCAATTAGTTTGACTGTTATTTATGGTCACGAGATGGTATAAGTAACTGATGGCCTACTAGAGCTGGGCTGGGAAGTCATGGTGCTGGTCCCAGAGTCAGAACTTTGGGTAAATCATTTAGCACCCAGATGTAAAGCAAGGATAATAACAACCCTAGTTAAGCAAGGATCAAATGAAGCAACAGTGCAGCTAGGAAACATTGTGTCCTTTAGAACTTTTTGGGAAAAGCAGGTCTTGAATGGAAATTTCTTGCTGACTGAGTGTTGTATCTCCATTTCCTGGACTCACATACTGTCATTGAGGGGATTATTTAAAAAAGGCCATTCCTAAATTGTCTAGAGCCATTTATTTTTGAGTCTAAAGAAAATACACTTTGTGAGTCCCTCCAGACCTCATGAATGAAAGCCAGATGAGCCTCCACAACTAAAAGAGAACATATAGGAATTGGAACATTTTTAGAGCATAGTCACACCAATGATTAAGGCCCCAAGGAATCTGAGATCATTTAGCCTAGAAAAGAGAAGGCTAAGATGTGACTTAATCATGGCCTTAAAAAAAAAAGTAACAGTCATTTTTTTTTTGTTGTTTTTAAGAGGCTTGTACCCAGCTTTTTTCATTTCCACTAAGGAAAGATCAAGAGAAAACAGGTTTACTTTAAGGGGTCATGGGAAGTGCCCAGAATTAGCACAAAGGCTGTCTAAGTTCACTGTAAATCAAGGCACAATACCCAGAGTGAATGTGATGTGCCTTCTCTTGGACGTGTAAACCGTTATACTCAATCAGAAAGATGTAATCTTGGAAACAAAAATGTTTACATACCAAGTTTTCTGGCCCTTTGGTTTTCCCTAAACATTTAACGGTCTCATGGGCTAATGTTAGATATATTACCATTGTGGGACATGAAATGTGTTAGTTTTTAACTTACAAATAGGATTGATATGCCCTGGAATTAGGTTTTTGAAGGAGACTGAACAAAATCATTGGAATGGAATGGAAATTTGTGTCTAATGATAGCCATCTCTAGGGTAGCGGTAGGAGGCAGAAAAAAAGCTAAAAAAAAGAAAATTACATTATAGCTTTATTTTATATTTAAAAGGAATAGCAAGTTGTACATAATAGATTTGCAGCTTCGTGTACAATTGTCTTTTTTTCCCCTACTCTACTATGTTATAGAAGTACCTGTTTATTTCTCAAGTTCAGAATAAAATAAATAAATTTTTTTCTTCTTTTTTTTTGGGGGGGCAGGCAATGGGGTTAAGTGACTTGCCCACGGTCACACAGCTATTAAGGTGTCAAGTATCTGAGTCCAGATTTGAACTCAGGTCCTCCTGACTTCAGGGCCAGTGTTATATCCACTGCGTCACAAACAAATAATTTTTAAAAAGCACTTATTAAGTACCCACCACCACTGTGCTAAGTATTGAGGATACAAATAGAAAAGAAAAACAGAGTCTAAAAGATGGAGACAACCCATAAAGGAGGGTTTGGTTCATTTCAAGGCAGATGGAAACGTCAGGTGGTAATTAGGGAAGTTCAGAGAAGGAGGGCAGCAGGGCTGAAGGTAGGCCCTGTAGACTTGGGAAGCAAGAATGTGGATCAGCATCTAGTGCCTGCTGGAAACTGGGCAATGGGGCAATAAGGGATCAGGGGAGGAGAACGGTCTCTGGCTCCCTGGTATGGCATTTGATGGTACTGGCCTGGAGTCTGTTGGCAGGTTAGAATGGGGGATGGGGGTGGAGGTGGGGGTGGGGAACAGCTAGGTCTATTATGTATGTAGAGCTAGAAGATTCATTATTCACTGCTTATGAAGTCCCTACTATGCAGAAGTCATGATCCTGCTTGTTGGCGGGGGAAAGGAGTGGATATCCTTTTCTAATTCCTCTAGGCCTAATATTTACAACCTTTTCTCAGTCATAATTATGTTGTTTAGTGAGTTTGGAGGTCTGAAGTACTGATTTGGATGGGACTTTAAAATGATGAATGATGTGTCTCCCTGGAATGTAAGACACAGGCCCCAAAGACGCAGTGTTGAAAATAAAGGATTTGGTGCTTTTCACTATGAAAGACATCAACTCCTGAGCTAAACACTAAAGATTTAAAACTCTCTGCCTCCAGCTTACCTCCTATCCTAGCTCACTTATCCCAACAGCTTTTTGTCTAATAACATCCTTAGAAATATTGGCAGTTCTCCCCAAGGATTATAGTGACTCAAAAGGAATGCACATGGATAGACCAATATTTATCTATCTTCATGCCTCTGTTAAAGATATAAATAGCAGTAGAAGGATTGATTTGATTCCATAATTGTTCATTTTGTCATCACAATTCCATGGATTATAGAACCTCCAAGTCAAATTTCAGTTAATAAAGTACACTGAGCCAGTAATTGAATGCCCCAAGAAATCCAACAGGGCTGTAGCTGTGTTATTGGTTATTTAGGTCCAGGACTTGTACAAAAGTAGTAAGAGTGAAGAATGGGAAGTAGTGAGTTTGAACCTTACCTAAAGCACTTACCAAAAAAGAAAAAAAAACCACACAGAATCAGAAGAGATGTTTTGGACCGATGAAAAGATGGCTTTTAAAAACTCTATTGGAAAGAAGAAGACTAAAGGAGGAATAGGGAGTGGGTGAGATGATGATAATAGAAAATAGAAAGAAGGTAGAATTACTTCTTGCTTCTGTTTTCTTTTCTAAAGAGGGGGATCTTTGGACTGGAAAGAGAAGAACAAGAACACTAGATTGGGAGTCAGCAGTCCAAGGACTAGGAGCTTAGTTTTAAGGAACTAATAGTCTTATTGCTCAGACCACATTTGGAATATTGTGTTCATTTCTAGACACCATATTGGAGAAAATGAGTTGGTGAGCACTGCCTCGAACATAGCCTGGGAAGACTTTCATAAATGTTTATTGATTGATTGATCTCTAAGCGAGCAACCATGATACTCAAAGACCTTGAATTCCTGGCGTATGAGGATTGATGGAGGAACTAGGGTTGTTTAACTTGGAGAAGAGAAGGACTTGGTGAGGCAGTCTTAAATTACTAAAAGGAGTGCTGTGTGGGAAAGGGACTTGTTATATTTATCAATCAATAGACATTTATTAAATGCATGCTATGTGCCAGGCGTTGTGGTAAATAATGGGGATACAAGGGCAAAAGACAGTGCCTGCCTTCAAGAAGCTTACAATTTATTTGGCCTCTAAGGGCAAAAATAGGATTAATCAATCAATCAAGTAGCATTTATTAAGTGCCTATTACACGCCAGGCACTGTGTAAGTGCTGGGGATACAACGAAAAGCAAAACAAAACAGTCCCCATTCTCAAGGGCTGAAATTGCAGAGGTGGACTTAATTGTCAGGTATGGAGTGGACAAGAAGGTATCATTAAGGTCCTTTACAATTCTGAAATCCTATGATTCCATGTGCTTCTGAGTTCTGTCACTACCTGGGTCTGTCACCTTGAGAAGTCACTTCTCTGTAGGCCTTAGCTTCTCTATCTGTAAAATGAAGAGGTTGGCTTAGTTGATTTCTAAAGTTCCTTTCCAGCTCTGCCATTTTCGATTTATTGATTTTAACTATTTTGACCTTCCCTGCCCTGTATTCTAAGACATTTTGCTAAGCCAATCAAGTAGTTTTGCTCTTTCCCAAAATGATTCAGTAGAGAGCTACAGTACTAGGTGAAGAGCAAATACAGCAAAAAGGAGAGGGAAGAGCGGCCAATGGTGAAGGATGAGCTGGGACTGGGGACAGGGATGGGGGATGGAGTCAGACTTGGAGCAATGGAAAAGTTCTAACAGGAGATCTGGCGTAAAGTGGTAGAGACTTGGAAGCGCCATCTTGGTCATCACCTCACTGTGTAATCTTGCCCAAGTGACTTTCTTAAAACTCTATTCCCTTTTCTACAAAATGAGGGAAATTAGACTGTGAATATGAAGGTCCCTTCCAATTCCCTGACTTCCAAGCAAGGATGATGACAAGAATCAATTAACAATTCTGGCCTCAGACACTTACTAGCTGTGTGACCCTGGGCAAGTCACTTAACCTTGTCTGCCTCAGTTTTCCCATCTGTAAAATGAGCTGACAAAGGAAATGGCAAACTGTTCCAGTATCTTTGCCAAGAAAACCTTAAATGGGGTCATGAAGAGCCAGAGACAAATGAGAAATGATTGAACAACAATTATTATTATAGCTAGCATTTAGATAGAGATTTAAGGTTTGCAAAACACATATATTATCTCATTTTATCCTGACAACCATTACAGGTAGGCACTAATATAATCCACATTTTATAGATAAGGAAAGTGAGGTAGATAGAGGCTAACTGACTTATCTAAGGTCAAATTGCTACTGTTTAAGGCAAGATTTGAAGGTTTTCCTGACTCTAGGTCCAGCACTAATAGTAGTCCAGACTTACAGTTGTTCTGCAAAAGCTTCTCCAGGGAATCACGCCACTGTAAAGCCTCTTCTGGTGAAGGCCTAAAGTCAGAGGAAGAGAAGGAAGTGAGTGAAGACCATGATTGGAGAGTTAAATATAGCCTCCTCCGACCACCCCTAACAGCAGAATGTGGGGGACAGACTTGTTCTTCCAGTTGTAGAGTTGACTTTGTGCTAATGTCCCTACAGGGCCTCCTCTGGTCATCCTGGTGCCCTCTTTGCGGCATGGCTGATCCAGTTTAAGAGATCTTCCCTGGGGCCTTGGGAAATTGCATCTAGTATTTCCTTTGTACCCCTCCACAGTCTCTATCACAGAATCACAGGATGTTAAAGCTGAAAGGGACATTACAGATCACCCAGTCTGACCTCCTTGTTTCACTGAAGGAAAAACTGAGGCCCAGAAAAGGCACTTGACTTGCTAGAGGCCACACAGCTGGACCCTTAACCCAGGGCTCACTGCACCCCACCTAACCATAACCATGCTCTCTGTAAAGCTAGCACAAACACAGCCTCACCCAACTGTCCTACCCTGGGGACTAAACCTCTGCTTTTGTCTCTTCTTCTTCCATACTAGTTTCTCAGAGCAGGTGCTTCCTCTACCAGTGAAGATTACAACTCTTCCAAAAAAGGGATCATTCCTGACAGCCGGCCTTCTGGTAATGACCTTGTTAGAGCTTAGCCAGGCTGGCCTTGGACAACAAATCTGTCACTTAAAGCTTCCCAGCATGATGGAACCTGCCAAGTAGATCAGCTGCATTCCATTGGGAGAGCCACTGAAAACCCAGAGTCACTGCCACCCTGTGGGGAGGCATCGGAAAGATGCCTCACCAGCATTATAATCTCCCTAACTATATCTGGCATAGTAGGATAAGTAATGAGTCAGTAAGACCTGGTTTGCAATCCTTGGCTTTATTTTATCGGTGTGACCAGGAGCAATTCATTTAACCTCTCTAGGGCATCTGATGACACAATGGATAAAGCTCCACGCCAGGAGGTTGAAAGACCTGAGTTCAAATCTGGCCTCAGACACTTACTAACTGTATGATCCTGGGCAAGCACAGCTATTTGCATCCATTTTCTCAACTATAAAATAGGATCATAATAGCACCCACCTCCCAGGGTTGCTGTGAAGATCAAATGAGATAATATTTTTAAAGAGCTTAGCATGGTGCCTGGCCCATAATAGGTGCTTAGTAAGTCCTTCCTTCCTTCCTTCCTTCCTTCCTTCCTTCCTTCCTTCCTTCCTTCCTTCCTTCCTTCCTTCTTTCCTTCCTTCCATCCTTCCTTCCTTCCTCCTTCCTCCTTCCTTCCCCCTCCTTCCTTCCTCCTTCCCTCCTTCCCTCCTTCCTTCCTTCCTTCCTTCCTTCCTTCCTTCCTTCCTTCCTTCCTTCCTTTCTTTTTTTCCTTCCCTCCTTCTTCATCCTTTCCTCCCTTCTTCCTTGGTTTCTTCATCTGTAAAATCGTGATAAGATTGGCCATATCTATCTTACAGGATTATTGTGAAGCTAAGACTATGTAATCAATCAATAAAAAATTATTAAGTAAATATCATGTGCTAGGGGATGGAGATACAAAGACAAAGCTGAAGCAGTCTTTGCTTTCGGAAGAGTTTTCATTCTTTTGGCTCAGTGACACAGTGGTCACTTAAGGCTGATGACTTTTGGGAGAGGCAAGATATTAGTATATATGAAATAAATACAAAATAAGGTACTTTAGAAAAGGAGGGAGCACGCTAGCAAAAGTAGTGTATGGCAACACTTCCCAGTGACAGAATACTGGAGCTAAGTCTTAAAAGAAGTAAAGAATTCTGAAACAAAGGTCAGGAGGGAAGCATTTCAAGAATGGAGGATGGACAGACATTATAGAAAAGTAGGCCATTGCTCAATTAGTTATTAATAATCTGCTGATGTAGATTACATTTATACCTCTATTCACATCTCATCACATTCTCATTCAGATTCCAAAAAAGGTACATGAAACACTGTTTTCAGTAGGATATATAGCTAAATGAAACCTATCACAAATTTATGCTATCCTATACATGTCTATAGAAGCAGCTAGGTGGCGCAGTGTATAGAATTCCCGGCCTGGAGTCAAGGAAGACACCTTCCTGAGTTCAAATATGGCCTTAGACACTTACTAGCTGTGTGATCCTGGGCAAGTCACTTAACCCTGTTTGCCTCAGTTTCCTCATTTGAAAAATGAGCTGGAGAAAGAAATGGCAAACCCTTTCAGTATCTTTGTCAACAAAACCTCAAACGGGGTCACAAAGAGTCATACACTACTGAAATATCTAAATAACAATAACTAAAAATAGAAACATGTCTACAGAGAAACTTGAGTGACTTTGACTGGTCCTATTATAACTGGGTAATGTGGAGCCTGAGAGCTAGGCAAAGAATAAAGTATTCAATTTTTTGACCACAGGCACCCTGAATGCCTATATTGATTCAAAAAGAAGGGATAAAAGAATCATAGATTTTGAGATGAAAGGGACCGGAGAGGTCATAGATATAGTCTAATTCCATCCTCCATTTTACAGATGACATTGAGACCCAAAAAGCTTAACTGACATGCATAAGATCACCTAGGTAGGTAGTAAATGCCAAAACTAGGATTTCCAAATCTAGCACTCCCATATAATTTGCCATTACTTGGATATCAATATAGAGAAACTCTGTTTGAGTTTCTAGTTCCTGCAACACACTTCTATGTCAGGAACACAGGACTTTCCGGTGTCCCCTTTGCAGGGATGAAAAGGCAGGGGGTGTAAAGGAAGGACTGATTGGTTGCTTTAGTCCTGGCTCCACTAGCCTCAACTATCTAATGAGACAGTAATTTTAATGTGTTTAGCACAGTGACTTTCACATAGTGGATACTTAACAAATCCTTCCTTACTTTCCCTCCTACCCTGCATTTTCTTCCTCCCTCTCTTAGTTGCTCTCTTTCCTTCGTTCCTTTCTTTGTTCTTTTCTTTCTTTCCTTCCTTCTGCTTTCTAATCAAAGAACTGAAGCATTTATCAGGATGACAGGGGCAATAAGCTTCCTATGAAATGATTCATTTGAATGACTTGTAGACACTTTGCATAAATTTGCTGGATAATTACCTCTACTGAGGGGCAGCTGGATAGAGAACCAGGTCAGGAATCAGGAAGACCTGAGTTCAAATCCCATCTCATTTATTAGCTATGACATCCTGGTCACGTCACTTCAATTTGTTTGCCTCAGTTTCCTCATCTGGAAAATGGGGATAGATAATAATAGCACCTGCCTTTTAGGGTTGTTGTGAAGATCAATATAAATGCTAGCTATAACACTTGACAAAAGTCAAGATAACTGGCGATGGCCTGGGATGCAGTGGATGACCTTGGCATTTTCCATGTCTGACCAACTCTAAGCGCTCCACAGCACCTGCTTCAACCTCCTTCATGGCCTTTGGAACAAATTGTTCTCATCCATCCATTCTACCAGGAAAAGTCATCATGTGCTTGGGTAGATACTCCCCCACCCAACTCACCAATGGGTTGAAAACCCTTTGGCTACCCTCAGCCTGGGCTAGCCCATCTGCCTAGATGTTTACCAGGGTGTGTGTGTAACTTCTTGGAACTACAGGTGAGAATTGAGTGCCAGGTGGACACCAAAGGTGAATGAGCAGCCCTGAGTTAACTCAGGTTGATATGGGGCTGACAAGGATTTTCACCAGGTGTCAAATAATAAAAGATAACATTTACATAGCACTTTAAGCTCTGCAAAAAATGTATAAATATTAGCTCATTTGATCTTTAACAATAACCCTGGGGAGGTAGTGCTTTTTTTAATCTTCATTTTACAGATGAGAAAACCAAGGCAGACAGAGTTTCAGTGGTGTATCCAAGGTCACACAGCTAGTATTTGAGGCAGGATTTGAACTTAGGTGTTCCTGACTCTAGGTCCAGTATCTGATCCAGAGATAAAACACTTTAAATTAGAAGGGGCTGCTGAGGGAAGTGAGGAGGAATGAATGTGCCTCTTTTCCTTCTCTTGCTCTAGGATGGCATTAGGCCATGAGAGAAGAAGTACTGAAAAAGAGGATTAAGATTGAATGCAGGGGCAGCTAGGTGGTACAATAGGTAGAGCACTGGCCCTGGAATCAGGAGGATGTGAGTTCAAATGTTGACTCAGACATTTACTAGCTGTGTGATCCTGGTGAAGTCACTTAACCCTGTTTGCCTTTCCGCCCCCCCCTAAAAAAAATGAATGCTGCGTCTTCTGGGAAAAGCCAGGTTTCTGTGATCCCCCCCCAAAAAGAATGTGAAATGAAGAGATTCAGGGCAAAAATATAGTGCTTATAATATTTGCTGGCTGGATGGTTAGGTTAGCTGAGGTAGAAGGATTCATTAAAACTTTGTAACAAAGAAATCAAAGCCCCCCTGACTAGAGGCAGGGAGATGGACTAGCAAACTTACTGAGTTCTTCAAGCCCCCCAGAGTGCTTAGCTCTGTGAATATTCTCTCCAGAGAGAAGTGCATCACTGTCTCCCCTTTCCTCCAGTTAATAGTAAGGGGTATCAGTAAAGAGCTATCACATGAGCAGGGACACTGGGCTTGAGTGTGTTACCATATCCAATTTGTCTCTAATGGGCTTTTGAAAACTAGGCTAATGGTCAATAATGGTAGCGCATCACAGCCAAAATTAAATCCCTGAAAGGGACATCTGCAGAGTCTGCCTGGGCTTTAAATTAGCTCAGATTGATTCAAAGATACAAAGTCAAGCAGGACGCATCTCCCACTGCATAAGACCCAGCATTCTGATTACCAGCCCAGGAAGCACCCAAGTTCATTTTGTCTCAATTCTCTGAACTCCAGTCCTTTCATTAAGGCAAGGCTTTGGAAAAAAAGAGACATAGATCAAAGTGACCAGAAAACACCCTGGTTTTAAAGGTCATGGTGGACTCTAATTCTCGAGGTGGTAGATAGGACAGAGAAGATATGTTGGAGGTGGGGGGAAAGTGATTGGTCTGGAATGCCAATGGTGATACAATGAATAGATATAAGGTAAAATAA